ATTGACACCAGGGGGAAGCTCCTGCGTTGAATGTCTGCCCCGTGGTCAGTGAACATCATAGCTATCGGCTAGTCCTCCGGCTGTGTATGTTTCTAATAATTTATCCAGTTCTTATAGGTTGTCCAATTTGCTGGCATATAATTGTTCATGGTGGTTTCTTATGATCCTTTATATTTCTACTAGAGGCCCAGTGCATGAATTCGTGCATGGGTGGGGTCGTCCCTTGGCCTGGCTGGTGATCAGGGCCAATTGGGGCCAGCTGGCCCGGGGGAGGGATCACGGGAGGTTAGCTGTGGGAGCACATTGACACCAGGGGGAAGCTCCTGCGTTGAATGTCTGCCCCGTGGTCAGTGAACATCATAGCTATCGGCTAGTCCTCCGGCTGTAAAAGTCACTTAGGCTTTTATATATATATATATATATATATGGTATCACTTGTAACGTCTCCTCTTTCATTTATGATTTTGAGTCCTCTCTTTTTTGTCCATTTTGTTTATCTTTTTTTTTTTTAAAAAGAGCTATTAGTTTCATTGTTCTTTTTAAGTTGTCATTTTAGTCTCTATATCATTTATTTCTACTCTGATCCTTGTTATTTCCTTCCTTATACTAATTTGGGCTTAGTTTGATCTTTTTCTAGTTCCTTGAGGTGTAAAATTATGTTGTTCATTGGAGATCTTTCTTGTTTCTTAATGTCAGTACCTATATGTATAAACTTCCCTCCTGGAACTGCTTTTGCTGCATCCTGTAAGTTTGGGTATGTTATATTTCCATTCTCATTAGTCTCCAGGTATTTTTTAATTTCTCTTTTGATATCTTCTTTGACTAATTAGTTCAGTAAAATGACGTTTAACCTTCACATATTTGTGAATTTTTATTTTCTTGTAACTGACATCTAGTTTAATATCATTGTAGTTGCAAAAGATGCTTGATATGATTTCAATCTTCTTGCATTTATTAAGACTTGTTCTGTGACCTAATATATGACATATCCTGAAGAATGTTCGATATGCGCTTGAGAAAAATGTGTATTCTGTTGCTTTTGAATGGAATGTTCTATATATCTGTTAGGTTCATCTGATCTACTGTATCATTTAAGACTACTGGTTCCATATTGATTTTCTCACTGAAGGATCAACCCATCGATGAAAGGGGGGTATTAAAGTCCCCTACTCTTATACAGTTGTCTATTTCTCCCTTTAGGTCTGTTGATATTTGCTTTATATATTTAGGTGTCTCTATATTGAGTGCATAATCATTTACAAAATATTATATTCTCTTGGGTCGACAGCTTTATCCTTATGTAATGCCCTTCTTGTCTCTCATTGCTCCTAAGGACTCCAGCCAGCCTAGTACACTTCTGCAGTTCTCACTTAACATATCTGGGAGGGGCAGCAAGGAATCAAAACCTAATTTAGAAATGCAGAGGTTAAAAAATCTCAACATTTAAGTTGTAGGCCTCAATATGTATAAAATATTCACAATGGATTCAGCCTCCCGTGCTTCAAGAAAAAAGGAGGAACTGAGGGAGGAATTAGCATTTTAGAAGTGTATCCTGTGGACTACATTCTAACTACAGCACATCATTTAACTTTTTTGTTGTGCTGAGGGTAGGTATAATTCCACTTGTTACATCTGAGGAAACAGGCTCAAAAATTGTTTTGCTAGTAATGACAGACTGTCCAGTGACTTTGATCAAATTAATGTAGTTTCTCTACACCTGATTCCTCACCTGTAGCATGGAAAGACACCAGCTCCTCTGCAGAAGGTTAAAGGAGACGACATGTGTGTGCCCAGCTCCTGGCTGAGCACAAAGGGCACCAAACACGATGGGCTATTCCAGAGGCAGCCTGAGGGGCCTGAGGGAACAGGGCGGACGGGGTGAGGCTCTTGACTGGTGTCTGCTTTTCAAGCCTGAAAGCAGGAAGGGAGGCAAGTATCAGAGCGAGGCCTGGACGGGCTCTGCAGTCACCTGAGCTGAGGCCTGGTTCAGTCCTTGCCTCATGTGATTGCATGGTCACTTTAGTTACGGACCCTTGCTAAGCTTCCGTCCCTCGACCGGAAACAGGTAGCAGGAGTGGGGGGGGAGGGGGGGTTCATGGGGATCAAGGAAGATTTTAGGGCTCCTTCCCCACTGCAGTTCTGGAGGTGCCTTCCAAGTTCTCTCTCTCTCTCTCTCTCTCTCTCCTCTCTCTCTCTCTCTCTCTCTCTCTTTAAATCACAACAATTTATTCAGGATGGTCTTAAGTAAATTGTTCTGGTAGATATATTTTTTTTTTAATTCGCCAATTCTATTTCAGAGCAATCCCATTATTCCTTTACTATCAAAATAAAAGTTTTACATTTGATGTTTCTACTTCCTCCATGTTGACTCTTCACCCCACTATAATCTGGTTGATGCATCTCCTACTCTAATGAAATGCAGCTTTCAAGTGCTCCAGTAATCTCTTAATTACCTCTCGCTTTCTACCTTCCAGCATCTCCTGTTGCTTTTCACCTTGGCCAGTGGCCTAGAAGTCATTCCTCCCTGCAGGAGTTAAAACTAAGATGGAGGGGCCCCTCTAGACATCTTTTTAAGGCCCTTCTCAGTTCTCTAAAGGAGCCAAAACTTTCCTCTGTGACCCCTAAAAAGACCCCACACCTTATCTGCTCAGGATTGCCACTGTAACTTCTGAGCATCCGAAGAGCCCGTTTGGAAGGGAAAGTGGGCCAGATGTCACTGAGCAGAAAAGTTCTGCGAGGAGACCAAGGGTCTTGCTGTTTTAACAATTGTTTTTGGTAGAAACTGTCACACACACACACACACAGTGTAGCAGGAATTGATGGAAAACAACTGGGAGGAAGTACAGCTGTTCCCTCTGAGGAGCTGGAGGGTGGGGGGTGGGGAAGGCAGGCCTGGGAAGAGGGGGTGTTCCCCGGGTGGTGACATACAGCATTCCTTTCACTTGAGGCAGCTGAGCCGAGGAGCTGCAGTCTCCCCTTGGGAATATGACTTCGCCGGGAAGGGCCTCACACACACAGACCTGTGTCCCCACGTCCTTCTCCAAGAGAAACCCCTTCCCATCCTGTGCGCGCGAACTCCCGCACCAGCCGAGGCTCCGATACCGCCCCATCTCTGGCCCGACAAACAGCGCAAAGTCAGCGATCTCGTAGGATGTGTTTATATTTACACGGTACATTTTAAAGCAATGGCTACATTGGTCATACATATTAGAAACCATAAAAAAAAAAAGTTAAGAACTTAAAATGTACATCATACATTTGTATATATATTTTTTACACAGAGGTAAAAAGGGTTATTATAAAAAAATCAATACAACAGGGTTTTTAGTATACAGGTAAAGAATGAATGATGCTTCAGGCACTTTAATTTGTTAATGTGAGCAAATAGCTTGG